CCTTCCTCTCCCAACCATCAACACGGAACTAACACCTATGAAACCTATATCTTGTAACATTTCTACTTTAGTCCCAGCAAAGTATTGTTTGTACGCACTACCTCGGGCCAATTGAAAAATCTAAACATTTGCTCCATTCCAAACTCGTTAAAATCTTACCCTTACAACAAACCCCTTAAACAACAAATATGCCCCTCACCACTTACTCCAGAAACCAAAACAATCTTCACAGCTATGAATGACTTCTACTTGAGATAGACTGACGAAGCAAAACAAATACAACGTAAAAGATAACAGAACACGGCAAGCATCCCAAAACATTCCCAAAACTGATCCATCTTTACCCCTTTATTAGTCCAGTTTGCTGAAAAACCAAAGTTACTGACAACGATCAACTGTAAATGTATGGTCCACTGATGAATATTCTGCTGACTGTAACAAAAATGATACCCTATGCGTCCCGCCCACTCAACACTGCTGAAATCACATGTGTCGAATCTACAAAGCAACTTAACAGCACAGCACGGTCCTCATAAAAATAACATCACTGCAGAAGCCTAACTTGTCAACAACCACAACCTGTCACTGCAAAAAAGTAAAAGAACAAGAAAAAATATTACGCATAATGCATTGCAACCCAGAGATGGATCCTTCCCCCTTTCATCCCCAACACACCCAACCATGACATAAAGATAAAAATAGGAATCTGATCACAAACCAGACGCTAAAAATGACGAGTTAAAACCAAATTCAATCTTCTTGAAACTTCCACACTTCTTCCGACAACTGCAACCATGCACCAATAACTTTCAGCACTAACAGACTCTACCTAAATGACTGGACCAAAACTATTCTTTCACCACACCATATATGAAAATCTGAGCAAAAATGCCCCCAAAATACCTAAACACTGAAACTTTTTAACCTCAATTCCATTCGCAAACCCTTTAAATCTCAATATCGAAATCTAAATGGTCTGGATGTACTGCTATTTTCAAATCCGACACCAAAGAACTTAAATATCAAGCTAGTCACGGTTTCTACTAATTCTGGGCTAAAAAAACAACCGACGCAGAGTACCATGGTGGAAAGGAAGTACCCCTAAATCGCCAGAAGTCTACATGTGGCCAAATAAACTCTCACATAATCGTTAAAAACCAGTCCTATAAATTACAATTTATATGCTGTTGTTTCCTTTAAATAACATATCAGGCTTTATCAGAGTTAAACAATCCCATAATCAGATATCGAAAATATAAAAGAAACTGCAGTGCACCTCACCGCACCAATTATCATTTACTTCAACTTCTTTTTCACACGTAAGTCATTTGAATGACCGCACTTCTTCTTCCTGCAATTCGTCGCCCTCGGAGGCAAGCGTGCGTAACACTGCAAATATCTGCATAAATGACTGTAAACAACCATTTCATTGAAAAAGCATTGGAAATTATGCGCAGTGATAGCTTTGAAGTAACAATTTACAATCCATTGTCCAGCTACATAAAGCTATCAAACTAAATTCCCAAAAGGACAGATAGCAAATATATGAAAAACTTAAAAGTTTGAACCAAATCATTTTGCACTTGATAAAACCACAACATTCATCGCGCAAAATAATTAATATACCTTTCTGCAAATTTGCTTGTCACAGTTATATTTCTGCGCAAGTTGACGCAACGACGGCTCAATAATACCACCACGAAGACGAAGCACCAGATGCAAAGTGGATTCCTTTTGTATATTATAATCGGATAGAGTCCGACCGTCTTCCAACTGCTTGCCTAAAACGTTTCAAAAACAGATTAGAAACTTCATAAACTGAGTAGATAGAAGTTAGTGAAAGACGTGTCCGTCTCAAAAAAAATTACCCAGTAATTGAGCAAGCATAAATCACTAGTTACAAGAAGTGTTAGACTTTTTAGTCTTGTGGTGACTTGTCTGATCATCACAAGATGTGCAAGCCTTGTATTATCTTCCCCATTTTCCACAGTTAGAAGATACTTTTATCTTTCCGACATCGGTATATAATGGGGGACTCTTGAAAGGTTCTTAGCTGAGCTCTCCCCTACGAAAACTGCATCAATGCAAAACACTAGTTACCAGAAATATCAAAAATCCTTGAAAACTACTCTTCACTTAGCACCTTTGCAAACAAATAGCAAGCCAAGTTTACTACTATAAACGCTAATGTCAGAGAACAAAATCCTTAGAACAGAAATTCAATATAACAAAACGTTTCCATAATTTTTTAATTCACTTCAAAATACCTCGAAACCTGCAACTTTAATCACAAATATAACACGCTGCAAATCTTCGACCTGCCACAATTCATTGCTAAACTCATAAACTAAATTAACAGTGCACTAAACACTGTTCACGACCTTTTTATGAAACTCATAACACAGAACCAAGTTATAGTAAAAAATTAACGAAATTAAGAGCTGGACAGCTAACCTGCAAAAATCAATCGCTGCTGATCGGGAGGAATACCCTCCTTATCTTGGATTTTTGCCTTCACGTTCTCTATAGTGTCCGAAGCTTCAACTTCAAGAGTAATGGTCTTACCAGTCAAAGTTTTCACGAAAATTTGCATTTTGAACACCTAAACGATAAATTACTTGAAAGCCTACAAAAGAAAAACACCAGAAGCGCTGAAAACGTATACCGGCCATCAAAACTACTATAAGAGCAGCCACCAAGTCCCAAAAAAGGACCGACATACTACACACAAACCCTAGAAGCTAAAAGTCATAAAGATAGTGTGCCTCCAAGTGACCGATTTCCAAATGCCAGGCAGTGCAATGCCGAAAGCGGAATACAAAGTGTTTGGAAATATAGCAAGTAACGAAAGAGTCTTACTGTAATTGCGAAATGCAATTGGTTCAATATTTCGCTTTAAAAATGATGTCTTTAACAGCTCAATAGTGATTGTTATGGAACTCAATAATTTCTGAACTTCTGTTGTTGTTGGGTTACTGGCCAATATTGGCAGTTATCGTTGCATTTTAAAAACAGAGCGGTCGAAGACGACCATTAATTTTGTTTAGAATTCCTTAAAAAAGCAAACAATGACTGGTAGCAGAACGTGAGGCGCCGCGAATGAAGTTAATCTTGCTATTCATACTCTAGTCGTAAAGAAATCGTTAACAGACGAACTTGCGAATTGCAAAAAATAAATTTTTTATATTGGAAGAGTATTTTTACCTCTCTTAACAGTCCGCTGCAGAATTTGTTACCTCAGTGATAAGAAAGAGAAAGGCTGATAGAATTTTGCTTTCTCAGGGCTGAATATTTTTTGCGAACGCCTTGTAAAGTAGTCATTCTATTTTTTAGTGTCAAACTGAAATGCTAGCATAATTCTGTTCACCTATGCTTGTAGGTTTCTTAATTTTAGTTGCCTTCTTTAGATTGGTTTTCGTTTGCCTGTTGCAATCGTGTTTTCGCACTAACCACTCCTACTATTTAACGTCCAGTGTTAACAAATTGCTGCATGGGTGCTAACAGACCAATCAATGGCTATCGGGTAAATTGAAGGAATCGGTGAAAGATAATTATAAATCAGAATCAACACAAAAGGCAATTTGGCACTATTTGAAATGACACAGATTTTCTATGACCGCTAAATTGTACCAGTTATATAAACGTATACATATTTGTCTATTTTTGTAGTAGGAAGTCTATTAAATTTTGAAAAATGGAACAAACGACTCGAGAACGACAACTAACTGCTCGTTAATCATGGTCGTATTCTTAGAAAATACTGCTTGCGACTAATCTCGAAAGTAGAACGGACCATTATGTAGCACTTTTCTTTAGTTCAATGCTGCGCCATACATTATTTGGTGTTAATAACATAGTAGTTAAAATTTGTTCAGATTTCTTATTTTTATTTTTAGAGTTGACGGCAATTCGACAAAATATTGATCTTATGGTGATAATTGCCCACTTTTGTCAAAATGATCACTTATCACAGTCATTTATACTTTTGGTCACTCCAGTTCTTGAGCAGCGCAAATTTTTTTGCCTTGGTTAAAGTTGGTCAAGGAAAAAGATCGCTTGCACGAAAATTTAAACGAATACATAGAGTTCTCAAGATTTTTTATAAGACACGTACTGTTTGTGACAAATGAACACTTATAAAGTAAAACAGAACTATCAAAGGGAGTTCCAGCATACAACCTCAGCTTACTATTTCATCTGTGGTATTTTTTCAAACCTACCATTACTTTCAAGTGACACCATGCCCTTCGCCTCTTATCCACCTTACTTCATTTGATTGCAGATACAGTTTATCAGAAATCCTATGCTTTTCGGACTTAATTTCAGCATTAACTTTTTGTTTTATGATATTATTTTAGATCCTTATACAAACAGGAAGTTCCTACGAAAATTATGTATTCATTTAGCAAGTAGGACAAAAATAATTTCGAAATTGAAGTGCCAACGAACAGTGCGGAAAGGACAAATTTTCACAGCCATGAATTAGGATAAAAAAAAGTTTTAGAAGATTATTTCTTTTGTATTAACCTATTGGGAGCAATGGGACCGCACTAAGTAACTTAGTTTTTTGGAACAACGGATTTGTTGCTTCTGGATGAGAGACACGCAGTAACCTTTTTC